GGGGGGGGGGAGGATTAGAGTGGAGGGAGCAAAGTCAAATTCATTTAGTCTGCAATTCTGCTCAAGGCCAGTGCTAACAAGAGTGCCCCAGACACCCACACACCACAGCTGCCACGATGCATTACAACTGAAGAAAAGCATCTTGTGTTTGACTCTTGTTACCAAATTTACGTCCTTACCTTAAGGGTAAAAAGCGGGTCCTGTAAAGGATTGCTCCAAGGGTCCACTGAACCTCCTTGTCATAAACTTGCAAGGCTGTCTTTAAATTTTTATAGTTGACAGGAAACGAAAAGCCCCTGTGAAACACCTCGAACATCCAGGCAGATTTGAAGCACTGATACCTACAAACACCAAGCACAAACAGAAGGGGGACTGACTCACGTGTCAAAATAAACTGTACACAGAGACGGTCTTCCCTTCTGCCACCCGGAGGCTGCGAAGACTTCACCAGGCCAGCGCTCTGTGCGGCCAAACCGGCTGCATACATTTCAAGTTTATTTACTTGGTCTATTCTAGCTCCTTGTCCCACAACACACAACAATTTACCTGTCACATCAACCAGCTCATGAAACTTGGTTTCAGGATAATTTAGTACATTGGCATGACAGATTTTTTTCTTTGGCATTTCAAATCTTTTATTCATTCAATAAATTCTGAGCAGGTTTCAACTTCTTAGGACCTCAGTTTCTTTATTATAAAATGAGAAGGGAGGAGGGTCCTTTTCTCTGTTATTCTAAGACTTTAAATATTTATCAGAGGCTTACTTTTTGCAAAGCACTGGGCTAAGCAAGTTAATAAGACATAATAACAAATAATAAGATAGTCAATGCACTTAAATAACTTACAATGAAAGATTTTTAAAAAGTAACAAGTAACTATAAACAAAGCAGAAATGATAAACACTACAAGAGAGATGTACGGAGTGCTCTGGAGGCCCAGAGGGAAGGCTGGAGTCTGGCTGGAAGGGCAGAGGAAGACTCGAAAGGGAAGCGCCCAACTTGACTCTGATGTCTGGGCAGGACTTCAATAGCCAAACATGAAGAGGGGAATTCCAGGTGGAGAGAACAGCAAAAGTGAGCAAAACTAAGTTTGGAGCAATGTGTGGTTGGGCACAAGTATCTGTCATCGTGTATGAAAGGAGGCCAGGATAGATGAGGAGGAATAGTGACTACAAGGATAAACCTGCAGCTGGGGCCAGGGTGTGGCAAGGCAGGGGCCCTACGGAACCTCAGTTTCCAAAAACACCCTGGGCGTGGTCGTCCATGACTTACTTTAGCCTGTGGAGGTCAGCGTGAGAGGCATACAGTCCTCGGTCAAAGCGCTCTCGTAAGATTGACCACTTTGTTGCACAATAATCCTGAAAGAAATTTTACCCCAAATAAATCATCAGTAAAGGTTTATTAAAAATTGTTTTCATTACAATTTTTTTTCCATTTACCAAATTCATATTCAAAACAACTGTATCCTTTCAATTAGAATAGAAGCTTCACTTATATGTGTGCACCAAGCAGATAAGACATACAACCACTCAGTGAATACTACTGATTAGCAGAATGCTCACTCTTTGTCTTAAAATCCTGTCAGTTATCGTTAAAGAGAATTTCGCTGCCCACAACCAACCTTTCCAAAATGGCTTAGTCTCTCCCTCCAGGACTGCATGGGACAGACATAAACCTTTGGAAAAGTGAAGTGGTACTTAGCTAGTTCACACTGAGTAGCTATGTCTGTGGCTACACGGCACGAGGTTCTGGGAACACAGAGATGATACAAAAAGACTGTCTTTAAGACAGGGAAAGAGGCGCCACCTTTTCTTGAAGTTGATTGTAATCTTATTAATAGCTAACATTTATTGAGCACTGTGTAAAGTACCTTTCCTGAATGTAACACTTAAAATGACTCAACATGGCTACTATTCTAACCTCTATTTAAAAGATGAAGAAACAGGCTCAGAGAAGTTGAGAAACTTGCAACAGGGAATATGGAGAACAGCACTCAGCCTGAAGTGAGGGTAAGGACAGGCATTTCAGGCACATGAAACACCATGAACAAGATGGGAAGTAGCACAGACATGAGGGAAAACAAACAGCTGTCTGGCACGATCACAGTATAAAAAGCTAGGTGGGGAGATGACGCTATAGGGTGCAGATGATAGGCTAAGGGATTTGAAGTTTATCCTGGAAGGAAAAGCGGCAGCAGATTTTAAATAGGAGGGCAGGTGACCGCACTTGTGTTTTGACAGAACACTCTGGGAATTGCTGGAAGGTGAATGATGGAGGAAGACCAGATACAAGACCAACTGGGAGGCTCCTGCAATAGTGCAGTGACTGACAGAGGCCTGGACTAGGACAACACTAGGACAGAGCACAGGGAGGGGTTTGAGAAATATCTATGACGTCAGGTAATGTGCTTGATTATAAGGGGGTGTCCAGCCAGGGATGAACAAGTGACAGGAGGAAGTCTATAATTCCTGTGTTTTCTGGGAGGGGGACTGGATGGTTAGTGATGCTGTTAACTGAGATCATAACAGGGACAGAGCAGGGAGGAAATGGTAGGTGTATTTGGAGTTGTGAGATACAGCAGGCACTGGGTGGGGGTCAGGACTACAGTCTCTTCTTGAGAGATAGCAGCAAATCATGAGCATGGATGAGACTATCCAAGAACTTGAGGGTCAGGCCAAGAATGCAAGTTTGGAATCACTCAGGTTTAAGGGGTATGAAGGGGAGAACCTTTGAAAGAGTCTAAGAAACTGTCAGAAAGGCAGGGCGACCAAGAAAACAGAAGTCCTGGAAGGCTTTGAGGAGCACCATGCGATAATAATTCCATTATTACACACCAGTGTAAAGGGCTGCAGTCTGGGTGCCACTGATGACTAGTTCATGGAGTAGGAGGCAGAAGTCAGCTCACAGTGAATTTCTTGCTCTTGCAGCGAATACTCTCTCACCCAACCAAGGGAACAGGGTTCCCAACGTGCTACCTGAGAACCTCCCAGCCTCCATCTTGCTCTTCTCTTGACCTGGGTCTGAGCCTCTAATCGTAAAGGGAGGACATGACCCACCACTGTCTACACCCGTCTCTCAAAGCACACAGAAGACGCTTTATTTGAAGGTTACCTTTGCAGCTTTAGTAAATGCAACCGCATTGTAGTCTCCTCCCATTCGTAACACATCCTCAGTGCAATAGTAGAATTCAGAAAAACCGTAGAACTCGCTGTTCTGGAAGTGAATCGGGGGCTGGTAGACCCCATTGAGGGAAGTCTGTGTCTCATTTGTTTTGTTCATGAAAGGCTGGAGAGTTTCCCGACACAGGTCGAAGTCTCCTGTTCCCCGCAGGTACATGGTCTGCCCATTTTGCTGGATTTCATCTTTAATGTCTAGGGGTAAGCAGGGGTCCAGGTATGGTGTATCAGGAGCTAGACCAGTCGGCTTCCCCAGGAGCCTACGGGATAAAGAGAAACTTTATCATGAGACTGACAAAAACCTGTTCCGAAGTGGCTCTAAGTCAGTGCCTCTCAGTGTGTTCTGTGGAACACGAGCCCTGCAAAGACTTCTATGGAACACAGAGGTTCCAGGATAATTAGGTTAGGAAACAACACACTTGAGCTCCACCTGGAGATTCATGATACACACTTTTGTACGGCAGACACCTTAACAGAGTCCAGTGAAACAACTACCTGGTCAGGTGACCCAATGTCTTTCGGTCCCTGCACACAGACTGGTGTCCTCACTGCTCGGTGCTCGTGGTAAGCTCCTCCCACTCCTATGCTCACTACTGTCACGTGCCCACCAACTGTGTTGTTCCCAGACCCATTTTTGCCACTAGCATTTGTGATTTTTATTATATAAAGATGAAATATGACTGAAAAAAAGTAACAAGTGAAAATGTGTCCTTTGAAATCTATGTTAGTTATCTTAGAAAAATATGATCAAGTCGAGTTTGACAGAAAACTGCTGTCAAATTAGGTGTTAGCAAGATTTTAAAAGAATTTAGAAAAAGGAGTAAAAATCTAGACGGATATGGTATCAAATTCTTCACAAATGTCTTTAAGTCCTTGGTGTTCTTTAAAGAAAGCCAAAATGATATGAAGTTCAGTGAGGGTAGAGCATGCCAGAGAAATGATGGGCGTGGCTGTAAAAAATACTTTAGTCCAGAGCAAAAGACTGGCAAATACACACGTTAAAACAAAATGCTTGAGATTTGATTCTAATTTTTATGATTCTCCACTTTAATTGATTTTTAAAAAATTAACTACTGATCCCAACTACTGCAGATAACAGCATGTCTATTGTATTACTTTGCTCACTGGACTGTACTATACTCACTAAACTTCCCAGTGACACTTCCAGGCATGAAGATCTGTCATCCTGCTATGTACACTTACTGTCAGGCACCTGAGAAACAGGGAAGAGCTCCCAACACTGGAGTTGTGTTAGTGTTTAATAACATGAAATCACAGGGACCTAAAAGGTGTTTAACCAGTAGGAGAGTACCTGATTCAACATTCTGTGACTGACAGTAAGTCAAGTGCTTGCTTAGTACTCAACTGACAAGTTGTTTATGCCTAAGATCAGGAGAACTCAAAATGCACTTGAATGTAATAAATTAAGGTCTTTGCTACTAATTAAAAACATTTAATTAAAAAAGCAATCACTACTAATGGCAAAAAGATAAATATGAATTTCAAAGCTTAATTCATAACATGTCAAAAGTGGTGACTACTATTTATAATTATTATAAAGTCTAAGACTAGTCAAATGTATACTTCACTCTACTGTTTTTAGTTGCCTGCCCTATATCTAAATTAAGAAGCACCACTCAATTGTCCATTCTACAAGTTTGTTGACATTAAACCAATTAGTAAAAAATTAGAGTTGCAGAAGAAGGCATTTTTCCAAAATTCTGATTCAAATATCACTTATAAAATATTCCTATTCTAGGACTTCTGTAAAAATAATTATACCAAAATGTGCTATATAATATACTACTTTAGGAAGTAAACCATGGGACTGCCAATCTTTTAACAACACTATTCAATTAATGTCTGGAGCAGACAAAGGACAAGTTTTCACTGCTTTTGTATTCACATATGTGGTTTTCTGGAAAATGTGGTACCAAATGGCTTACTTCTTGGTCTTCCTTAAAGTTCAGGCTTCCATAGGTTTAAGATTAAATTGATCAAGGAAATTATACTATCATTTATCTCTATGAATTAGAATCCCCCCTCAAAATTGTCTCATCAAAGAAAAGTAAACGAAATAGTAACTAATAGGATATTTTACTTAATTCCACATCAGATATTTTTATCCATCCAAATGGCTTTTCTGTTTTAATGGACTAATTTCAAATAAATAACTGTTATATACTTTAACTTATAAAATCAATTTAAACTGAGAGAGTGTTGCTTTTATTTGTTTTATATATTTTCTACACCAGAATTCTTCATAAACTCATTTTTAAGTTCCACTGATATGTTTAAAACCAATAACTGACTTCTAGATCATTTCTTTCTCCTGCATAACTTCCTTCACTATCTGCTGAATAACTGCATAGGCTGTTTTTCCAGAACATCCCATAATTCAGTTTTATCACCAGTGACATCTTATCACACTTCCCACAGGCTCTAGGACATCTGCTGTGGCCCAGGTGCTGAATTTCCCAAGGGCTCTGCAATCTGGAATGCATTACGAATGCATTACCCAGGGCTCAAAACTACTGTAATTTCCTGATAGTGAAATTTCTAATCCATCAGGGGAGGTGTAGGTCTGAGGAACAGCAAGGCTCCTTTGGAGCCTGGTGGAATGTAGGGCTGAAGGCAGGACCCTGGTGTCCTCTCACTTCCTCTCCCAGCTCAGCTGGCAGGGGAATAAAAGCTAACAGTGCTGACAGGCTTCTGCTTACCGAGGCCTCTGCTTTGCCTGAATATGTTTTTCAGGAGAGACCTGGATTTGAACGTGACTGCTGAGCCATGAAAAGTGCTTTACCTGTTCTTCTGAACCGTGTTGGCAAATATCTTGTCTTCATATCTCTGTCGAGCAGCATTACCACCAAACCCAAGAAATGTGGCCACATAGACTCGGTACACATGCTCAGTCTGGTGAACATCACATCCAAGGTTAAATTCAGCCAGCAAATTCTTAGCTACTTCTTCCTGACGACGTAAAGATAACAAATTTTTAATATTTTAAGCAATATAAAAACAATTACCTTCTTTAAAAAGAAGGATCTAAAAAATCCTCATCTAAATGGAGTGAAGATTTCTGCTTCTGTATTCCCTTCTAAGCATCCCTCCTAAGTCAATGTGACAATTCTGACTTAAGAAATTTCATCTGTGGTATTATTTCACCCTCTGTGGTATTATTACAACTTTTTGAAAAAGGAAGTTAGCAATATAGTTCATATCTGCTAACCTAGTAAATCTATTTATGGAATCCTATGCTTTCAAAATAATCCTGAACATTGAAAAGTCTCTATACACAAAGATGTCTTTTGCAATCCTGGGACAGAATCCTGTAAGCTGGATGTCATTTAAATATACAACTCCTAGGAGGGTTTATAATTTATGCTAATCAAGTTTATGGAGGGTCATACTTATGTGCTGTTAAATAAGGACACAAAACTGCATAAACAGTAAGACTGTAACAACCATATTTTTAAAAACTATAAATAGGGAAAAAAGAATGAAGGGAAACACCACCAAAATGCTAACAATGATTTCTTCAGATGATGCATCCAAAGGAAATTTTTAATCCTGATTTTTCAGTATTTTTTCCAAGCTTGCTGTAAATGTATTTTAACTTTATTCTGAAGGGAATGACATGACTTTTTACAGAGTATAACAGTTTCTGAAGGCATGTCTAGGTGGGAAGTAGGAAACATACACTGTAATATTTGAATTTACAAAGCATTTTCCTAAAGAGATTAATAAATGTATCACTTATTGGGCGAACACTAGGCGCCCAGCAATGCGTTAGATATATTATACGCACTATTTCATCTAAACCTGGTAGTAACTCTATGTTAGAGGCACTTGCATTCACATTTATAGATGGAAACCAGCTCAGAGAAGTTAAGGTCACACAACTAGCAAGGACAGGATGGCGCTGCAGCCTAGGCCTGTCCAGTACACTCTTTCTTAACTACGAAGCTACGCTGGGGGACAGTGGAAGACAGGCTTTGCTATTAATTTACAGTCGAATGGAAACAGGGTGATAAAGACATGTAGCAATTCAGGAATATATCTGGAAATCCTTCTGCTGCTCTCCACACAAAGCCACCATCCTCCTGGGAAACTGCAGTGACAGTGAGCACTGCAGGAATGGAGAAAAGGCAGCAAACCCAAGTTCAGAAATGTGGAAGCAGAGGATACAAACCTCAGTCCTTTCCACAAAAGTCGAAAGCTATCTGAGCCATTAAAAAAATATTTTCCCCAATGATAAGAAATCTGATGCTATTCTATGTAAGTTTTATAATCCCTGATGAGAAAAGAAGTTACTGAAGAGAAAGTATAAACAAAACTCAAGCATGTAACTGACAGGTATACTGAAGAAAAACTCCATGTAAGTTCAGAAAACAAACCAGCAGATTCAATGAACAAACACAAACGGCTTAGGGGAGGTTTGCCTTGGCTTCCTCCTGTCTCCTTTCTCCTGGGTTGAGAAGAGGTACCTCGGCAAGCACAGTAAAGATGTGTTCAGACTCAGAAAACAAAACAAAAATGGATGGAGACATGTTAAATGAAACCAAATCAAAAGAAGGAAATTTGTACAGATAATAACCTGCTGTGAGGAGGCAAAGCTTACAGTTTTGGGGACTTCGTATGCTATCTGAGTTGACACGCCTCCCATGTCGAGAATACCGGCAGTTCTTTTACGGAGAATGGCTTCACTGCTCTGACTACCAGGAATGTTAACTTCCACCACTGCCTGGTCATCTGCAAAGAATGAGAAATACCCATTGGAGCAGAACAAAGCCAGACAACTGGATCTTTGCAAGTCCTCTTGCTCTCAAGGTACGTTTCAAGCATTTTTGGGCAGACCCAGCCGCCTCTTCCCAACTGAAATTGAGCTGTGTGAACAGCCTTCTCTCACTCTATCCTACACACTTGCTGTGTCATAAAACTTACCTCCTTTTTATCCATTAGACTAAATAGAAAAGCCCTGATTTCTGGTTCGATACATTAGTTGAAAACATGACACTTACCATCTTCAATGTGCTCAAATCGTCCAAGGACAAAATTAATGCCAATCCAAGCGTACACACCTATTGACATTGCACAGGGTAAAGATAAGAACAGAGTTTTAGGATATTCTGTATAACTCTGATCAATGCTGTTTGTGCAAACATCTTATTTATTTTACTCCCTGACAACCTGTGAAAACACCATCTGAAATAACACATTTCTGCTGATGTATTTTATCTTTTCCTAGTTGATTTCCAAGAAATCTCTACTTAAAAAATTTAGTTTCATATCATTTACATAGGTTGAAAATGTAATTCCCTAGGGGCTGGGTTTCCTTAGAAATCTATAGGTTGTTTTCAAATACTGGCGTTTTTACTTTTTATGAAGTCAAACCTACCAATTGCAAGGTTGTACAAACAAGTTAACTGACTCTTGCACTTCCTCTATCCCTCACTTTCACTCATTTGCAACATCCAACTCTTTTTACATTTCCTACATCCAATCTTTACCCATTTTCATTACCATCTTGATTTAAGCTGTTAAAGAGATCTACTCAATCTTCCTACCCCTACTCTTCCATTCCAACCCACTTCTTTGTCTCTTCTTACCCTTTTTGTCTAGAAGTCTGTTTTGTCTGATGTAAGTATGGCTACACCCACCTTCTTTTGGTTTCTGTTTGCTGGGAACACCGCCTTCCATCCTTTCACTTTGAGCCTATATGTGTCTTTAGAACTGAAACGAGTCTCCTATAGGCAGCATGTAGTTGGGTCTTTTTTATTTATTAATACATCTAGACGCTCTGTGCCTTTTGAGTGGCGAGTTCAAACTATTTTCGTTTAAGGTGACTACTGATGATGTAAGGATTTACTACTGCATTTCATCTTTTGCCGTCTGCTTATTTTGTCTCTCCACTGTTCCCTTATCCTTCTGTTCCTGTTCACCTTTGTAAGTTAGTTGTTTTCCATGGTCATTTGCTCAGTCTCCCGTTTCTGTTTTGTTTTGTAGCTCTGCTCTAGATTTTTGCTTTGTGGTTACCATAAAGTTTACATAAAACATCTCATAAATAAAATAGTCCTTTTTTGTTGACCGCAAATTTATCTTCATTTGCTTATAAAGGTTCCATCTTTTTACCCCTTCCCCTTTTATATTTTTCATGTTACCAATTATCTCTCTTTATGCTGTGAATTTGTTACTCAACTATAGTAGAGTACTGGTTACTTTTAATTCTTTCCTTTAACTTTGATGCTATAATTGTTTGATAGACTATTCTAAAAAAGTTACAATTTTCTAATACTATTTTTCACCTTAACCAGAGTTTTGTGTACTTTTGTCTTTTCATTTCAGCCTGAAGAGCTCCTTTCAACATTTCTCATAAGGCAGGTCTGGTGGCTGGTGAAGTCCCTCAGCTTTTGTCTGGGAAAGCCTACATTTGTCCTTCATATCTGAAGGATAACTTTGCCGGATTAAGTAATCTTAACTGGCAATTTTTCTCTCTCAGTACTCTGAATAGATCATCCACTCTTTCCTGGCCCCTAAAGTTTCTGCTGAGAAACCTGCTGATAGCCTAATGGGAGTTCCTTTGTAGATTACGATCTTTCCCACCCCCCCGGATGCCTTTAAAATTCTTTATCATTGATTTCTGGCAGTTTTAATATAATGTATCTTGCAGAAGGTCTTTTTGTGTTGAGATAATAGGGTGTTCTACTAGATTTGTACACTTGTACATGCAGTTCATTCCCTAGATTTGGGAAGTTCTCAGTTATTATTTATTTAAATACACTCTCCACTCCTTTTTCCCTCTCCTCTGGTGTACCCATTAATCTTACGTTAGCTCTTCTAATGGAATCTATAGTTCTCGTAGGATTCCTTCACTTTTAAAAACTCTTAGTTCTCTCTCCTCTTCCACCTGGTACATTTTTGTATTCCCATCCTCGAGCTCACTTACTCTCTCTCCCCTCTGATATGGTTTTCCCAAGGTGTCATTCATCTCATTTATTGAGTTCAGCTCTAGAATTGGTTTCTTTTTTCAGAATTTTAGTCTCTTTTGTAAAGTACTTCTTTCTGTTCATTAATTTTATTCCTGAGTTCACTTCATTGCCTTTCAGAGTTTTCTTGTAGCTTGTTGAATTTCTTCATAATAGCTTTTTAAATTCTTTATCAATTAGATCACAATAGTCCATATCTTTGGGTTCAGTTACTAGAAAATTGTCATTTTCTTTTTGTGATACAGTGTTACCATAGTGTTTGATGAAAAGTGCCTCTGGTGAGCATTTCAAGTAGTGAATACCTTTCTTATTTAGGTAAAGCTTGGTTTATTTTGATTCTGACCATTTAAGAGGTTTCTAAGTAGGAGGCTTTCTTTTACTTTCCAGAAGGTGGCGCTATAGCACAAGTTTTTGCTTTCTCTTACCAGAGCTGAGTAGGGTGGGAGCTGCTCATAAAACAAAAAAAAGGTGGGGGGTGGGGAAAGGGTGGCCACAGAGTTAGCGGAGGTGTGTGCTTAGCACCTGGTGCTTTGGGTGTGTCCACAGACCAAAGAGGGGTATCTTCGAGTGGGGGTATCCCAGATGTCTGTGGGTGGTCCTCTTGCAAGAACACTGGGGCAGACTGCAAGGAGCTGCATTCCTTCAGTTTTCTTTGCCTTCTTCCCCTTCCCTTCCCCCAGTCACTGTGATGTCTTCTCAGAGACAACAGGTTCCTCCAGCTGCCTCATGCATGGCCAGGCGGATCCCACTCATCACCTCCACCCTCCACCTCCCTGCCAGAAAGGTTGTCCTGGCCTGCTGCCACCCCTGCCACTACTCGCCTGGCTCTGCACTCTTTGGCCTCCTCTAAGAGTCAATCCACCCACTTCTGGGTAAACAGACGAGTAGATCCCTCAGGTGCCCTGGTGTGCTGTGCAGAGGTGCTTTGTGTGTGTGTGTGTTGTTTTGATGTCTGATTATAAATCAAAGGGGAGAGAAAAAAGGAATGACTCGTGTCACCATGATGATGTCACCAACACCTGTCCAACTTTTACTATTATTAATACCTTTCAAAAGGGACATAATACAAACTAAGTTATTTTTGTTCCTCCAACTATAGTGTTCTTTCAACCCGTGTTGACTCAATTTCTTCTGCCTGGAATGTGCTTCCTACCCCTCTCTCAGAGCCCTACCCATACCATGGTCTGACATGCTGTAACTACCTTGCCAGGCACAGTTCAAACGTCATTTTCTCCATGATGCCCTTAGTCCCCATAGCTAGAAAAAAAAATTCTCCCTCCTTCCAATTTCCATGATACTTTTTCCTTACCTTCCTTATGGTACCTAAAACTGTACCTCACATAACAGTTAACTGTGTACCTCCCTTGCCTCTAAACATAACAATGGCAATATCTGAATTTCACACAATTCTGTATTCTCTACAGCGTCTTTCGCAGAGGAGATATTTGCTAAAATGATAGATGATTCTGAAATAAATGTTTTTTTGATCTCCACTTCTAACAAGCTATTACCCAAATAATATCATTAACTCATCATTTAATTCTCAAAAGAATCATGTCTTTGAAAACAGAACTAATATTTTCTCAGTGTATCAAAGTCAAGAATAATTTCCCCTTCTTAGAAAATCAATAGAAGGCTCCAATAGCTCAGTAATTATCGTAATTCCAGAAAGCTGTTTATCTTAAACAAGGAGCACAGAACTTGCCTATCAAAATGATTCCAAAATTTGTGTGGTGAAGATAAACTAAGTTATTTTTTTAATGGCTTAATGTTTGGATAATAAAGGCCAGCCATGTAAGAAACTAATTTTGCCATTTAAAAATTACAACAGTTAAAGGTTATGGTTTTCCAAATTTTAAGATATTAGGAGTAATTTAATAAAGTATACACAGGGGGAAATGGAGGATTTAAAGCAACAGTTTCCTAAATTTCAAGGTGAAGACCAGTATACCAACCTTCTTGTTTCCCTGAAATTACTTCTGCATGAGAGTCTGAAAACAGGAAGTCAAAATGCACGGGGATGTCAGTCAGAAGGTCTTCCAGGATGGCTTTCTGCTGGCTGTAAGGCAATCCAAAAACATACATATCAAAACATGAGATACTCAATTTTTCTTTTAAAAGAGGAAAACCCCCCACTATGCCTCTGGTATATCCTATATAAAGTTTAAAACCAAAACAATTCATTGAAGATTGTTTATTTTAGGAAGAAATTTTCAAGAGTTGTGTGAATTATGTGATTCCTAGATATAAAACTACAAATAGTTAAACCAATAAAATAGAAAATTAGTTTTGTGGGTTTTTAAAAAAATATCTTAATTGATTTCAGAGAGAGAGAGAGGGAGGGAGAGAGAGAGAGAGAGAAACATCAATGATGAGAGTCATTGGTTGGCTACCTCCTGCACACCCCCGAATGGGGATCGAGCCCGCAGCCCTGGCATGTGCCCTGACCTAGAATCAAGCCGAGATCCCCTGGATCCTGGGTCGATGCTCAGCCTCTGAGCCATGCTGGCCGGGCTGGAAAATCAGTTTTTTAATGACAACTTTATAATTTGCTATTTACAGTCATAAACAAATATATTAGAAGATATTTGGTGAGTTCTAGCTAAGGAAATAGTTCTGGCATTATTCCAGATTTGAAAAGAGAATTGTGAATCTCTTCCTTTTGCGGACAGCGATGGGAGAGGGTGAGGAGGAGAAGGAACAGGAGGGAAAAGAGGAGGAAAATAAACCCCGCC